GGAGCCAATCATTACAACATTCAGACCCAGTGTGATCGTACTTCAATGCGGGGCGGACTCACTTGGTGGAGATCGACTAGGTGGTTTCAACATTAGCATTGCCGCACACGGTGAATGTGTCCGGTTCATCAAGGCTTTTCGAATCCCCCTCATGGTATTAGGTGGAGGGGGTTACACACCACGCAATGTGGCACGCTGCTGGACTTACGAAACCTCTCTACTGGTCTCAGATACCTGTCCAAGTATTTCCAACCATCTCCCCTCGACACCATACGACTCGATTTTTAAAGACGAACCCCGTCTGCATGTGAATCTGGTCACCAAAGTTGACAACAGCAACTCGAAAAAGACACTTGAATGCCTCCGGATTGGAATTCTTGAACGCTTACGCTACATGCATGGAGCACCCAGTGTACAAATGCAATTGATTCCTCCTAGTTTATCGCAATGGCTCGAGGAAGAAGAAGAGATGATCGAGAAGGAGCGAGAGAAGGCGCCTGATGAGCGGCCCCATCCGTCGCGATCGACCGGCCTCCTCGACTATTTCCCCACCAACGCAAGGGTCCCGGCGGCAATTAATCCTGGCGCTCCTGATCTAACACCTGCTATCAAAGCTCTTCCCGGAACCCGCACCAGAGCCAATTATGGCCTCACCAACCCGGCCCGAAAGCGTGCGCAAACTGCCAAATCTAGCACTCAATCCTCGGCAGTCTTGGAAAAATCAAAAGACGAGTCGGCTCGTGCACCTGCATCGGTCCATCATGCCGATGATCGCATGCAAACCGAATGAGCACATCCTCTTCGCCCCTCCCCACTTCCTTCGAAATATCCGTGGATCGACAGTCATATCCGGAGACAATATCCAATCACCATCTCCCGATCTGCTTTCCAATGGGAACTGTTGTCTCTTTTTGTTCATAAAGACAGTGGATTAATTTTGTTTATGTAATGTGATGTACCTTTAAGCTTGCCCAGTCAGCTCTCTCCCATACTCTTGAGCACAAAATATACAATTATCACAAAAGTGGGAAGTACACCAAAACACAAGAAATATATCTACACCGATACGTATACATTTCCAAAACTGTTCCACCCTTTCTTTTTTCCGGAGCTTTGCCCTGGGGGCACTTGCTCTGTGGGGGTCATCACTGGTGCTTAATCATCTTTGATGTTCATCCTAGTGCCTTCGTCATCCTCAATCTTTGTCATTCACTTTTACTCAACATCGATCCAAAAAATATTATCATCATAAATGATCAAATTTTCCTCATCTTAAGCCATTATGACCTTATTGTTAAAAAATTAACTTTCTCTCAACCCAAACCATCTTTCCAAAACTCAACTCGTGATTACTCAAAGAATGAACCACATACTCAAAGATCAACTTTTGTCAATTAATCTTGTTGCACTGGACTTCTTCTCTTGATCTTGACTCTCTCTGATTTCATTGCGTGTCAAGATCTCATCCGGATTTACACCAATTTATTTGTTCTTTTACTTTCAAAAAAATAAGTATAATACTTATATCCTCATGTTTTTTTTCTTACTATTGATCTTTTCTCTTATTGTTGATAACAGATTTCTAAAGATTGCTTAGAGACAGAAGCAGAGCACTACGATGGAAAATCAGATCACATGAGGAAAGAGAGAAGTAAGAAAGACAAGAACAACTTTTGAGACTGATAAAGAGAGATGAAAGCATACCACTGCAGAGCACACAGTTATTACAAGCACGACGAGCTGAGATTTGAGCAGAGAGGAGACAAATAGGGAGAAAGGGGACTAGACAGGAATGAAAGAAAAAAATTAATGAAGAGCTGAAAAGAATAGAGAAACCATGAGCATGAGCGAAGAGGTCCTTTATTGATTCTCACCAAGTTGATGAGGTATCACCGCAGTGTGCCGTTATTGAAAGTGAGCTTTTGAGACAAGGTGAGAATCTGGCGAGCAGACTGATTGGAGGAGATAGCAAGGACTTGTGGTTGAGAAGAGTTGAGAAGTGAGATAGAGCGAGGACGAGTTATTGAGCCGAGTGTGACAATAAAATTAAAGAAAAGTCCTGGTCTTTCCGGAGAGAATGATTGAGACTTTTTAAGTAGCAAAGTTTTTGGGTTAGGTTTTGAATCTTGGCTACTGTGACACTCAAATAACAGTCAATTCCTATACCTAGTTCAGATCCGTCCATTGATCCTTTCAGTCTCTCATCATTTTCACTTCATCCCGACAACTCCTCTGTATGGAGGCACTGGAGCGCCAAATTGGCCAAAGAAATTGAAAAATGAAAAATTACAAAAAAAAAATTAAAAAGTGTTTTTTTTTTAATCCAACCGCCAATTTGGCCATACCAACCGCCAAATAGGCCACATNGCAATATCACCAAGGAGGTGATGTGGATCAAGACCTTGCTCAAGAAAATTTTCAATATCAAGCTGAAATCACCAACTCCAATTTTTGAAGACAATCAAGGCGCAATTGCACTTTCCAACAATGAATCCAATCACTCAGCCTACAAAACCAAACACATGGATTTGCGGCATCATTTCATTTGACGAGAGGTCAAAATCAATTCCATAGTTCTTCATTATGTTCCGACTCACAAGATGCTGGCGGATTTCCTCACCAAAGCAGTCGGCAAAATTGCTAACAGGCGAGCTCACGGCAGTCTTCATTTCTGGTGCTCATCACCTCCCGGCAATGAGCATGGGGGTGTGTCAGAATCCTGCTCTGCGCATGCTGCAGAGGAAGCGTCATCCGCAGGCTCTGACTCTTGAATTTGACGCTCACCCAGCTTCAGTCCCAGATCTTGTTTGGAACAATCAACTTCCAATCCTCTGTCTCAGCTTCTCGACTCCTCAACCAATCCAGTCGCGTCGACACATCCAAGATCTCATCAGCTGCCAGTCGTCAAACCCAGGGTAATCAATCACTCTACCTCACTCTTTTTATTCTATTTGTGCTGATCTTGTTTCTGCAGTTTTGCTTCTGAGAGTGTGTGTGGTGGATAGCTTGTTTGTTCTGTTTGTTTCTCTATCGTGTCTTTTTTCTCCTTCTCATTCATTTCATTGTGATCCTTTAGGTATTTATCTTTTCCTTTGTTCTACTTGTTTGTCTTCTGTTTCTTTGTTCTCTTCTAACTGAAAATCATCCTTTAGTTTTGCCTGAAAATCCAACACCCATACTATTTCCAATCTTCCAGAACTACCCAAAGGAGCACTCTCCAAAAGTTCTTGGACTATCTTGCTCCTCCTGTAGCTAGAAGGAACCTTCCTTGGCATCAGGTAGGCTCACAATTGGGGGTCTGGCCGGGAAAAATTAATCCTGGCATTTAATAATCATACTTTATATCATTCCAAACCTCATAAAAATATTCTCCTCTAAAAAACCAAATAATAACTGAAAAAAATCTTATCTCTACCTTTTTCTTTTGTTATAAAATCAAAACAAAACAAACCATTCGAAAAAGTAAAGAAAACCTTTTTTCCTTTTAAAAAATTATATAACCTATAACTAATTCAAAAGACTAATCAATAATATTTCAATTACTTCTTCGTCTTCCTCAGTGACTCCTCAACAAAATTCCAAACTAGTACAACACTACCTCCGCGTCCTCAAACTCAGAAAAGAGGAATACATCCGTAACTACAAACCTACGGATTGGGAGCTCCTCACAAGAGAAGAACAGCTCATTTCAGCCACTTATCACGCCCATCTCTGCGAAAAAGAAAGTCTAGAAACTCAGCTCCTTATAAATCAATATAACAGCAAAAAAAAAGAAAAGAAAAGGTTATCAGATAAAGAAAGGTATTTTTGAATCTTGGCTACTGTGACACTCAAGTAACAGTCAATTCCTATACCTCTTTCAGATCCGTCCATTGATCGTTTCAGTCTCTCACCCAATCATTTTCACTTCATTCCGACAACTCCTCTCTCTCATATCACCACCACTCTCAACCTACAATCAACCTTCTCCAATCTCCTGACTCAAACTCATTGACTCAGCTCAATACAATCTAATTCCTAAACAACCCTTTGATTTTTGACTCAACATCAACTCTACTCAAAGCAATAACATCTTCAGCACAGTGCCTCAAGTCCCTTGGTGAGAAGACACCTTTCATCACTCAATCCTCTCGTTCTGACTTCTTATTTCTCATTGTGTAGTCCTGTGTCTTCTATCCTCTTGCTTCTCTTATACTATTGTTGTCTCTTTCATCATCTTCATTGCTCGGTGGTAAATATCATGTCTTTTATTTCCTCTTCACTCATCTTTCATGTTTATCTCTTTCATCTAACTTGTCTTTATTCCCTTAGGCTGGCTTTTGGTTCTCAATTATAATTCCTAGATTCAATATTAGGTTTGATGGGCAATATCTAGAGATGAGTTAGGTTTCTTGAGGCATTTCACAAGGATGTGTTGAGTCTGTCACAGTGAAAGTGTGAGGCACATGAGATTCCAACAGTTGATTGATTCTTAATTAACCATCTTAATTCATTTTCTATTATCCTTTTCTGAATTCAGATCTTTTCCATCTTCAGATCCTGATTGTCTTCAAACTTATCAGTTTCTTCATATTCTATTTGCAATATCATTGGCTTGTGGCAAATTTCTTTCTTATTTTAAGTTTTGTTGTTCTTCTATTCTTTTTTGCATCTTTGCTCATTCCTAAATTGTTTCTAGTTTGGTTTCTGTTTCCAGTTTTTAATCATAATTATTTCACTTTTCTTGCTGGAGTGTATGATGAAGGTAGCTCTTGAAATCTTTTATGAACACATTTTCTGTCCAGGCAGTGTGTAATTTCTACCTTTTCATTTTGTTCATAATCTTGTTAGCTGGTGGGAGTTTTAGGTCACCTCCTTTTTTTTTTGTTCCTGGAAATTCTGTTGGAATATTTTAATCCAAAGTGTCTTAAGAAGATACTGGTTTGTGTGAAACTTAATTCTGTGAGCTTATCTATCCAAATGGGATCAATTCATAGTTTCAAATATCAACACCAGGCACAGGCTTGGTAGCCTAGTTGGTAATGGCAGCAGTTCAAGTATAGTGTCTTAGCTTCTACCTAGGTTCTCTGGTTCAAATTCTGACCAAGTTAATCTTTCTTGCTAAATGTCTGAAAAATGCATTGTTAATTTTCAACATGTTCCCCCCAAGTGCAATCCAATAAAAATAGCACTAAATCAAAACAGGTGAGACTGCAGCCTGTGTAACACTGGAAGTGGAAAAGCTACCCTCACAAAGGAGGGGAATTAAGTTTCAAATGTTGTGGGGACAGGAATTGCTTTTGACTGGACAAAAAAATCTTCAGGTCATTAAGCCCTCCTGTTACTCTTACTCACATAGTGGTTTTGGGAACTGGGTTGTTCTACAAGTGATTGATAATGGTGTTTATAAAGGTGATTGTAGGGTATTTCCTGTACAATTGAAAGTATCAGGGAATGTAGCTTCAGTAATTAAGTCTTTATAAGCTCTTCTCAACCTTTGACAGGGAGAGGAATTCAGATTTCATGTTGGATTCTTCCTGCTGATATATTCAGGGAATGGTTTGAGGTGTGTAACACAAGCCCCCTCTTGCCTGGGGCTTTCTGACAACAGCTGGTTGTGAAAATTAAATCAGATGTTGCGCAATTCAGCCATGATCAAGCACCAAACTTGCTCAGCAGCGGTTGATCAATGCCTGGCTGTCCTCATCCATGATCCACTTCTCCATCATCTTCCCAAGGCAGATGGGGGGG